TGGATGGAGCTGGAGAGCATTATGCTAAGTGAAATAAGCCAGGCAGTGAAAGACAAATATCATATGATCTCACCTTTAAGTGGTACCTAATCAACAAAACAAACAAGCAAGCAAAATATAACCAGAGACATTGAAATTAAGAACAAACTGACAGTAAGCAGAGGGAGGTGGGAGAGGATAATGGATGAGAAAAGGGGGAAGAGTTTTCAGGAACAACACTAAAGGACATATGAACAAACCAAGGGGGGTGGGATCAAGGGAAGGAGGTGAGGATGGCTGGGGTAAGGGGGTAGTGTTGGGGGCAAAATGCAGACAACTGTACTTGAACGACAATAAAAAATAAAAAGAATTAAAAAATAAAAAAAACAGCACCAAATGTATAAAGTACTAGAGAAGAGTGTGATGGGGATTGTGCAGTGGGCTCAAGTAGAACATGCACATGTTCTTGAAAATAACATTATGATGTGACAAAATTGTTCAGAACTAAATGCAATGCACACCACAGTAAAGCGTGGGAAATCTGTATGAGGTTAGCGGATTATATCACTGTCAATATCCTGGTTTTGCAAGTTGTTACCACTGGAGAAACTGTAAAAATAGATCTCTTTGTATTATTTCTTAAAACTGCATGCAAATCTATAATTATCTAAATAAAACTTCAGTCAGAAAAACAAGTACCCTCTGGGTGGATTATTTTATTACATATATATTCAAGAAGATTCTTCTAAATAGGACTTCCTATAGTGAGCTTGGTTACAGTCCATCAACCACCATCCAGAGAGAGAGAGAGAGAGAAAGAGAGAAAGCTGAGAAATCTCAAGGTAAAAATGTGAGAATAATGGCTCCTCATACAAGCTGGAAAAATAAAAGAACATTAAAGCAAACTTCCACTTTGCAACCCAGAGGATTTACATAGCACTTGTCTGGTGACCCCCAACTCAGCAATACTTTCTTATCTTCCTCATCTGGGAGTTGCGCGTGACACAAATTTTAAATGTCTGTTCCACCACTAATTATCTCTGTGACCTAAGACACATCAGTTAATCTCACTGGACTTGTGTTTTCTCATCTGTAAAAGGTTAGGGGTGAGATGTAGAATGAAAGTTTAGATTTGCTTTGCCTCTCACATTTGTTGTGAAGCTCAACATAATACATATACATGAAAGTACTTTAAAATCAAAAGGAAGTTATTAATTTTTTTAACTCCCCATTCTATTTCAGTCAAATATTAGGAGACTAGAGCAAGGGAAGAATAACAGCTTTGCATGTTAATATCATCTAATTTAACTGTTTTAATCTACTACTATCCCCATAAGTGCTATTGTTCAGTTCATCGATTTCTATTATTTAGTAGAATATTATCAAGGTTGCTATTTTGGCTTTGCACATTGCCAAGGTGGTGGGTGGTGGCAGAAGTTTGACAGCTGCTAAGACCTAGGAAGGGCACATATTTCTTCCATACATTGTTCTAAAAGGGAGGATTTAGGGAAATCAAAGCTATTGGTCAGGGAGAAGTGGGCTATTACTCTAGCACTTAGTGTCATTCTCTCATTTAATACTGAAAATTATTACTTTAATTAATACTTTAAAAAAGAGGGAGAAGAGCTTTCATGTTGCTGCATTTCTCAGGCTTTCTCTCCTTTGCATCCTCAGAATTCCTGGCATGCCTGAAATCAAAGGATCTCTGTGTTGGATTTTATGAGCATATATTTTAAATGGAATCACAATAAATGCTGGAGATAGAGGTGAGGTAGCACATTGCATACTGAAAGATATGACCCCACTGTCCCAATCTATCACCCTTCATCTAGCCCAATTGGGTAACTTTTATAATATGTCCAAATGTCTCAGGTTAGGGACCATATCTGCTCTCAGAGAGACATCCAGAACTATGTTCATGCAAGTCTCTGTGAAGATGGTCATCATTCTTATTCTTAGGTAGTTCTGGTTCTTTATATCAGTATTGTTCAATTAGAAAGGAGCCTCTTATGAGCTCATTAGTCAGCTGAAATATCAAATACTGTTAAAAAGCAAACCAGAAGAAAAGGACACCTTAACCAGTAACCTGCAATGAATCATCCATTTAACAGACATTTCCTGAATCCTTACTTTGGTCTCAGCCCCAGGTTAGGTTTTGAAGAAAATATACAAATATGTGAGTAAAGCTTTCTTTGTTAAAAGACTAGTAGACTATGGGGAAGAGGACTGTGTCAATAGGATACAACAAAGGTATCTGAAACGCAGGCATCAATCAACCCAATCAATTCAAACTATTTGCACTCCCACCCCCATGTTCACAGAAAGCATTGTATTCAATTACAAGCTGAAGAGAAACTAAAAAGCAAAACAAAACCTTGATATAACATAAGGCAATAAAGCATCCAGTGATGTGTTGAGGATTTTTTAAAAATTTATTTTTAGACCCAGGGGAAGGGAGGGATAGAAAGATCAATGTGTGGTTGCCTCTCACGTACCCCGCACTGGGGAACCTGGCCTGCAACCCAGGCATGTGCCCTGTCTGGGAATCAAACCAGCAATCCTTTGGTTTGCAGGCCAGCACTCAGTCCATTGAGCCACACTATCCAGGGTGCTAATTTACTAAGAATTTGTAAATTAAATTAATCATGATACAATCCAGGCAGTATATCTCTAGCACCCATGATAATGGAGCAAAAGCCATGCACAAACAACCATTTTAGCATTCAGCCTCAAGCTGACCTTACAGCAAGAGTTTACATCATAAATTTCGGACTCCTTGTGATTAAGCATAAAATTATAGACACGAGTACCAAAGAACATATATAAAGCAATAGCTCCAAGTTGTCCCCTGGTGGTGTCCTGCTTGACAACACCACTCTATGCCAAAACCCCAACTCATCACTCTCTAATCAAAGAGGCCATTCTTTCTATTCAGTGACTCTTTTGCCTTCAGCCCTTTTGACTATATGCCACAATTTAGTGAAAACACTACTTACATGTGAAATATTGGCACCTTATAAAGATAGAGATTTCACCAAAATTTAAAAGCCTGAGAAGTGAATTCCATATGCAGGCTGACTGGCTGGTCAAATCTGGCATCTGGATGTTTCAGTCCTGAGCTGTCAGTTAAAAGTAGGTTGGCTGCTTGAGTGTAGGATAGGAGAGAGGAGAAAAAGCCCAAGGAGGGTGAAGAGGATGAACTTTTAGTGTGGATTTACTGAAAAAACGGCCTGTCATCAGTCAGGGAACTTGATAGACAGGGTTTGCCACCCCCCCCCTTCTTGGACTTCCCCTGTTCCAGAGGATAAAGATAGTCCCTACACTAGTTTCGTAGATGTCAAACAATGTAACCCTTATCCAAAAAGGTGGGCTTAGGCTGTGATGCTGCAGTGAGGATCTGGGAAATACAGATCTCATCAGAGATTCTGGTGTTGGGAGGGGGCTAGGTGAGACTGTCTTCTCAGTTATTACTTATTGCTGCCATATGGTGTAGGAAACAGAAAAATTATTCAGGTTCTAAAAAATTTTGGGTGGGTCAGTGTCATTAAATAATAGTGGAGGAGACAGTCTGGGAGGAGAGGGTGAGAAAAGGGGCTGCAGAAGAAGGTTTGCTATCCACAACTGCAGCACTATGTGTGACAGAGATAAATTCACTTGTTATATTTAAAATTAGGTTTACAGGTACTCCTTCACCCCAGGCAACAGTGGCTTAACGAGTGGTCTTCTCAAATTTTTATCGCAATTTTACAGTATATTAGTATCTAAAGTCTAGGTCTGACTAAATGTATGTGTCCAGAACTAACAATTTGGAGAGCTTCTAAAGCCTCCTTATATGGTGGGAAGGGTGCTGCGGCAGTGTCCAGTAATTATCTTTGCCACATAATCTTCAGTCCGTGATGTCAGAGTGCTTCTTAGGAATCAGAAGGTGAAAAAGGTGTGGGCGTTGGCAGTGAATTTCCCCCAGTTCAACACACACACACACACACACACACACACACACACACACACACACACACACACACACACACACAAAGTTCAGTAAAAAGTCCTGCTGATGCCTGGGAAGTCCGGTTGAAAGAAAAAGGCAAGCTCCCTCGGTAAAGGCGAGCCCAACAGATGCTCATATCACTGCGGAGACCAGGGCAGCCGGAGCGCACAGCCCAGCCGCCGCTTCCCGGACAATCTCGCCTTGCTTTGCAGGCTGAGGAAAGCCAAGGCTCCAGCCCTCCCTCATCACACACATTTCCTGAAGCACCCCACACCCTGCACCCAATGGCAAACAGCTCAGATCCTGCAAAGCTCAGAAAACACAAAATATGAAGGGGCCGGCGGGGGTGGAGGGGGAGGCAAATTTTACTTCAATCCAAAGGAATGAACAAACACACACGAATCCTGGTTAATTTCTTTTCCCGGGTTAGAAAAAAGGATTACTTGCCCACAGAGGTTTGGAGATGGGGAGCAAGAGGTTGGTCCGAGGCTAGGTTCACCTGCTGCTGAAGTAAAAGAGCGGAGGACACAGGAAGGAAGCTGGTCTGAGCAGCCGCTCATAGCTGAGTGGTTGGGGTATTGCAAAGACCCTCAAATCCGCCTCTGGTTTCTTTTTTTTTTTTTAACATTCGAGTCATTAAAGGGTTAAGTGTGGCTGGGCTCCAACCAGCCCCCCCCCACCCACCGCAGTACTCCCCCTCCCCTTATTGTCTCCCGCCTCCCCTCCTGTTCGTCGCTAGGAGGTCATCAAGTGCTCTGTCCAGTCGGCGTTCGCAAGCCCCTCTGATTCCCGCCCATCTGGCCGGTGGCTGCTTACGAAGAGGTGCGCGCTCACGGAGGGGCGTGTTCCAGCACTGGGAGACGCTGAGAGCCCCGGGTTAGACCTCAGAGCAGAGACAGCCATGGAGTGGGGCGGGGGAAAGTTTGGCACGCTGCAAGGAGTCGTCGAACTGGAGGGGGCGGGGCGCCCAAGGGTACTTTAGCCTTCCAGGGTCTGAGGCGCTAGCTACCCTGACCTGAGGCGGCGTGCAGCCATGGACCGCAGGGCCGCTGCAGCCCTGGGAACTGTCCCGCCTCAGGATTCAGAGCAGCCCTCGGAGTCTTCAGAGCCGCCGCCGCCGTGGCCGCCGCCGGCTCTTTCACCGCTCCATGAGCCTTCGCCAGAGCCGGCACCACAGTTGTGTCTAGAGCCTGCTCCAGAACCCTATCCGGAGATGACCGCAGTACCAGCCACAGAACCAGTCCCAGAACCAAACACAGAACCGGCCCCCAAGCCGCCCCCAGAACAAGCTACAGAACTAGACACACAGCTAATCTCAGAATTAGCCCCAGAACCGGTCCCCGAGCCGGCTCCAGAACCAGCTCCTGAACCGGCTTCACAGCCGACCCCAGTACCAGCGATAGAACCAGCCCCAGATTCGGCCACAGAACCAGCTCCAGAGTTCTGTCCTGAGCTGGCTGCAGAATCCTGTCCGAAGCCGAGTTCAGCACTTCATCTATTGCAGTGTCCGGTGATCACTCCAGAAACGGGTCTAAAGACCTCGGAATCGCCGCAAACGTCAGTGCCGTTGTCCACTATAAAGGTAAGAAAAAGACTCGCTGGGGCAGGCGAGGCAGATGACTATCAAGCTTTCGGGACGCTGGATACCCTTAGCATCCCATGTTAGTGCCATGAACTGGCAAAGATGTTCAGAAAGATGCGGGATTGGGGGAGTGGGAAGCTGTTGGGAGCCGGGAAGCAACATGTGGAAGCGAAAGTGAGCTGTTTGGGGCTAAAAACGAGGTGACAGCATGGGGTGGTAATCAGAGCAGTTTATTTTCCCCCTAAAGGGAGGAGTGGTAGTGTGGTGAGCGCCTATGTCTTGGAAAAGACACCAAAGATTCTCCCAGGGAGCGCAAGACACCTACAGAGGTGTTTGGGGCTGGTCCGGGATGCACAGGGATGGGATTTAAGTGGAGGCGGTGGGATACAGCTCTTATCCCGGTCACTGCCGCAGAGGCCCAAACTGCGGAGCCACTGCCGTCTGCTTGGCCCCCTCCCTGAGGGTCCTCTGCTTGGGCATAACTGGCAGCCCCAAGGAGGTTCACAGTGCCTCTGTCTGCTGCTAGGTGCTGGTACACCGGGTAAGGATGAGGGGATGGGCGGCGCCCACGCACACTGCAGGGGAAGGGTAGGGTTCATTGGGGAGGAAGGGGAGAGCATGCGTATGTCGAAGCAACCATTTCATCTGTCTGCAGGATTTCCCAGCAGGTAGGTGCAAACACACTGATATAGTGATGGATCCCTTCACAAGCGAGGCGACTGGCACCCCACACCAGGACCACTTGGAATGGTGCTGGAGTCCTGGTTTAGAGGCATGGGAATAGGAGTTGCTATTTGAGAGCGTGTAAATGGGAATCCTCATCTCTTCCCGTAGTCAGAGATGGCTTCGTAAACGTTGTACTTAGCCCAGAGGAGTGGAGAGTCTTTGGTCACCGGCCGAGGGGAGAGGAAGAAGGTTTTCAGTGTTTGCCTTGGACCCCGGACCCCAGAAACCAGTGTCTGCTCTTCAGCAGAGATTTGCCTGTCTTTCTTGGTTTTGCCGTGCTTCCCCTCCCTACTCTTCCTTTCCTTTAAACTTCACTCCACCAGACTGTGAAAATCATGACAATGCACACATACACCTTCATTTAGCTTCCCCTGCAGGAAAAACAAAACAAAACACAGTAACAGACAAATAAAACATCACACCAACAATGCCCATTCTTCCTGCTTCTTAGCAGGGCATTAGGGACACGGCTGTGGAATCCTTGTATTGTAGACCACACACTTGTAGAATGTAGGCAGAGGGGGCACAGGTTAGCACTGCAAAATAGAAATTGTAGCAGCTCTGGTTGCTTTCTGAGTTATGATCAGGGAGGCTTAAGTTTGCACAATAATTGCAATAATAAATGACTGAAAAAGAGAAAACCTCAAGCAAAAAGTTTCACAGATAAAAAATACAGAGGTCTAAAAATGTTCTCTTTTAAAAGGGATTGTAGAAGACTAAAACCATTTTTTTAAAATCCAGCAGCCCTGCTCTCACCAGGAGGAGAATCTTTCTTCTTGCTGCAGTGGCCTTTCCTTGCTGTGATCTCCAGAAGGGAGTCTCCCTTTGGTGAGGCAGCTAGACTTGAGGGGTCACCCTGACCAGGTGCTTGCTCTTGTCTTTTTGAAAGACTTTTCATGAAACTGGTAAGAGGGAGACCTGTAGGGGCCACCTGACCTGTGGCATTCTTAAGTGAGATTTCAGGAATGTTCCTGAGAAACTGACACCTGGGGGCTTAATTAATAGGCTGACCATGGAATGTGTAGCCTCTTTGGCCTCCAGATGACTGCCTGGAGACCAGAACTCCACAAATGAGCCCTGTGAGAGTTGGAAAACATCTCCAACCAGTTTAACTGGAAAATGTCTATTGTCAGACAGATAAGGAGGCTCAAGGTGAAGGGAATCTGGTTAGCTTCCTCTACATGGTATCCACTAAGATGACTGACCAGCAGGCACTTGAAAGCCCTGGCAGACCAGGACCTGCCAAAGTTTGACTTTGCCCTTGGTAGAGCTGGTCATTTGCTCAGTCACTTATCTTGCAAAATGAGGTTAGGAACTTTGACCTTCCACTAAGGGGGTCATGTAGATGAAACCATCCTTGGTTCTAGAGGATTTTGAAAGATGCAGATTACTCTAGGTGTTATGCAATTGCTCGGTGGTGTAGATGGGAACATCTGATCTTCAGTTATAGGAAGAATATCTGCTGCATCTTCCTCAAACCAATTGCACCCACAACCAGATGACTTGTATCTTAACATTCAAGGCAAACAGGTTGCCATCTTAACTGGGGTGATATTGTTCTCAGACCACTGCCTCCTTGAGGCAAACTTGGGGGGAAATACACGCACATTCAGATCAAAACAAAATACAGCACTTATTGTACAATAAAATTCTACATGGCAAGGCACAATCAGTCCCAATAGCACGAAACTAGCCTGATAATTCAAAGGACAAAATGAACAAAACCAAGTGTTTGAACAAAACAAAGTGCAGGTTTCTCCCAGATAATTTTTCTGACTGGCATCACAGTAAAACAACAAAAACAAAAATAACAATAACAAAAAACCCAACCTCTTCCACAGTGTAGTCTACTCTTTTTTGGGGTTTGAGAACTTGCTAGTTGCAAACTATGCCAAGAGTGAGAGCAGAGACTGGAAAAAAAAGGGGTTCGTGTTTTCTCTCTGAATAGCTACCAGGATAACAGTCTGTGAATTAAACCTATTTCCTTCCTTTCTAAAATGTTTTGATTTCCAGGAAATGAGCTGTTGTCTCCCCCCTGGTGGCAGCCAGTGTAAGTAAGGATGTGTGAATTGGTTCTTTAACAATGTTATAACTCTTTAGGGGGGAAGTAAGGGGTACATAAAGTGGACCATATTTGTTTCTCTCCCCTCAGCTATAGTTGGAGAAAGTTTATATTTTTATTCATTGGATTTTGATCAGCTATGAAAATATAATCACACCTTACAGGTGATGACTGAAAATCTGAGAAGAAATACATTTTTGTGGCATATATTTCTGGGGTGGGAAGGGTATCTGTGTACCTCCCCTAATGACTACACAGCAATTACCAGAATGCCCAAAACCATAACAGAACTGTTTCCTGGAATGTTTTACACACATTTTCTTGCAAAGTAGCAAGCATTTGTTTACATTATATTTGGTATTTTTACCTGAATACATTATCTTACCTATTTCTGAGCTTCTCAAAGGTAGATGCTGTGTCTCCCTCCCATTGCCTAGTACAATTTAGCCTTCCTTACTTTTGCTCAATAAACACTTGCTGAAGCTTGAAAACTATCAATTCCATTTCCAGCAATGACAGAAAGATGGCTGTTGTGAATGAATAAAAATGCATTCTCAATGATTTCAGAGTAAGAAGTAAATGCTTATTTAAATAGCCTGGAATATATAGACCTCAAGGAAATGCAGTCGATCTTTCTATTTTCAGAATGGATATTAGAACCATAATTAAGAACAAAATTACTAATAACTTAAAAAAATATCATGGAAAGTGGCCTTATTTTCTGGAGTCCTGGCAGCAGCAAACTAAAACTGATGTTGTTGGTTCCAGGGGTAATATATTTTTTCCTAAGTGAGTAGAATACTTGAAGTGGCTATAAACAGCTTTGGGGCTATACATTTGAATGTTCAACCTGTTGAAGGTGAGGATAAAATTACTTTCATCCTCCTTGCCAGGTTTTCATCATACCATCTGATCAATTTGGTATATTCTGAGAGCTCCTGAACATTTGCTACAGGATGTTCTAGAATAGATAAGTGAGATATTTATTTGGTCAGTGGTCTTTCTTTTCTGGGAATACAATTCTTCTTGTTTATGACTAGAGCTTCTGCAGATCTATATAATCCAAAAGGAAAGTCTGAGTCATTACCCCAAGTGCTTCCAAGGAAAGGGAAAAAATCCATACAGTCCCGGAAACCATTCAGGGGCATTATAATAAGGATTGTGTAATTTCTTCTGTTAGTATGGCAATTTACAGTTTGTATAATGTTTTCTTCTGCATTATTAACTCCTGCATTCCCCTGAAGAAGGCAGCAAGGTGGGAGAGTGCAGAAATAAAATGTAACACCTAAATAGGATATAATAACTTGTCAATTGTGGATTTTTTAAAATGTTCAACATATAGCTTTTTGTAACATATTGGATCTTCATTTGTCTAAGGACAGTCTTTAAGCTGATATTCTATCAGTGTTGATTTTTCCCAAAGCAGTGATTGCTGTTCCCTGTCTGATGGTCCCAGAGGGAACCATCATACAACAGGAGCCTGAGAAGGAAGAAGAGGCACAAGACCCTGAACATATTAGTCCCAAAGAAGATCTTTTTTTAAAGAAAATAAATAGAAATTATGCTAGGAATAGGGTGTCCAACCTTTCCAAAACTCACTTACTATAACTTCCTCAGTGGAAAAAAGTAATTTTAAGTATTAAAAAAAGAAAGCATCTATTCTTAAAGGAAGATGCTCCCGCCCTCAGCAAAGCAAATAATCCTTATTCTTAAAATAGAAAAACAAATTTTAATTAAATAATAAGAAAAAGGAAAAAGCATTATGCTAAGCGAAATAAACCAGGTGGTGAAAGACAAATACCACATGATCTCACCTTTATCGGGAACCTAAACAACAAAACAATCAAACAAGCAAAATATAACCAAAGACACTGAAATAGAGAACAGGCTGACAGGGATCAGAGGGGAGAGGGGAGGGAACTTCAGGGGAAAAGGGAAAGGGTTTACAGAAACAAGTATAAAAGATACATGGACAAAAACTGGGGGGGGGTGGAAATGGGAGGGATGTCAGGAGCACTGGGGGGTGGGCTGGGATGGGAGTAAAAGACAGAAAACTGCGCTTGAACAACAACTAAAAATAAATTTTAAAAAGGGTAAGATTTTTTAAATAAATAAAAAATAAGAGAAAGGAACAGTGACCCTAAATAATGGAAATTATTCCCATTTTGAATTATTTTAAGA